CCTCCCTGATGTCATGGTCTTCTTTGAGGAAAAAGGACAAATAGCAAGCAACTTCACTTTTCATTAGTTCATGTAAATCTCTCCAGATCTGAGAGCATCTTTCTCATTTCCTATAGCACAACAGTATTCTATCAAAATCATATACCATAACCTGTTCAGACATTCTCCAATTGATGGACATGCCTTCAATTTCCAGTTCTTTGCCACCAGAAAAGAGCAAAATATTTTTGTACATATTGTTCCTTTTCTTTTCTTTTTTCTTTTCTTTTCTTACCTTTTTGGGATACAGACCTAGTAGTGATATTGCTGGGTCAAAGAGTATGCATGGTTTTCTAGCCCTTTGGGCATAGTTCCAAATTGCTTTCCAGATTGGTTGAATCAGTTCACAACCCTACCAACAATGCATTAGTGTCTCAATTTTCTCATATCCCCTTCAGCATTGTCATTTTCCTTTTATGTCCCATTAGCCAATCTAATAAGTATGAGATAGTATTCAGAATTGTTTTAATATGTATTTCTCCAATCAGTATTAATTTAGAGCATTTTTTCCCCATGGTAGATAGCTTTGATTACTTCATCTGAAAACTGACTGTTTATATCTTTTGACCACTTATCAATTGGGGAATGGCTCTTATTTTTTATAAATTGGACTCAGTTCTCTATATATTTGAGAAATGAGGCCTTTCTCAGAGAAACTTGCTTCAAAATTTTTTTCAGTTATGATTGCTATTTCCCTCCATCTTATTCCTTCCCCCATCCTATTTCACCCTTGTTTATTCTATTTTTCTCCTTTCACCCTGTCCCTCTTAAAAAGTATTTTGCCTCTGATCACCACCTTCCCCAATCTGCCCTCCCTTCTTTTATGCCCTTCTCCTCCTACTTTCCTGCTCAGTAAGATAGATTTCTATACCCAACTGACTGTGTAAGTAACTCCCTCTTTGAGCCAACTCCAAGGAGAGTAAGGTTCGAGAGTTCCCTGCCACCTCCCTCTTCTTCCCTTTTCTTGTAAAAGCTCTTTATTGCCTCTTTTATGTGAGATAATTTGCCCCATTGTACCTCTCCCTTTCTCCCAGACCATTCCTCTTTCTCACCCCTTAATTTTATTTTTTAAGATATCATTCCATTGTATTCAACTCACATCTGTGCCTTCTGTCTTTCTATAGCCTTCTAACTGCCCTAATAATGAGAAAGTTCTTGTGTTACAACTATCTTCTTCCCAAGTAGGAATGTAAACAGTTTAACCTTATTAAGATCTTTATGATTTCCCTTTCTTATTTACTTTTTTATACTTCTCTAGAATCTTGTATTTGAAAGTTAATTTTTTTCTATTCAATTCTGGTCCTTTGATCAGGAACACTTGAAAGTCCCTAGTCTATTTCATTAAATATCCATTTTTCCCCCCTGAAGGATTATACTCAGTTTTGCAGGGTAGATAATTCTTGGTTGTAATCCTAGCTCTGGGAAATATTTTTAAAAATAAAAATACATACTGTACTATGAGAAATGATGAGCTGGTTGATTTTAGAAAAAACATGGAAAGACTTGCATGTAATAATGAAGTAAAATGAGCAGAAGCAAGAAAATGTTGTATATAGTAGTAACAGCAACGTTGTTTTAAGAACAACTGTGGACAACTAAGTTGTTTTAAGTATTCTAAATAATCAGATTAACTACAAAGGAACCTATGAAGGAAGATGCTATCCACCTCCAGACTGGTAAAAATTTACCAAATGGTAAACAGAAATGTATAGTATGGTGTGTGTATGTGTGTGTGTGCGCGCGCATGCGCGTGTGTGCGTGTATATATTTATATATATATGTCATATATACATATATATGTCATATATACATATATATATGTATATATCATATATATATATATATATATATATATATATGTAATATATCTGTCAAATGGTGGCCTTCTCTAGTGTGGGGTGAGAAGGGAGAGATAAAAAAATAAAAAGAGCACAGCAGAGAACAAAAGAACACTCCAAAGGAAGCAGAGAGAAACAGTAGTTTTGAAAATGATGTATAGTATTTATCACAGTTTTTCTTATTAAAGTAGATATTGTGAAATGAAGATTTATGGTTTCACATTGAATCCTCTTTTTGTGTTGTGCTGTATACATGAAAATGGTTTTTTTTGTATCTAACCTCAAAATGATTACAAAAAATACAAAAAAATGCAATAGAACATAGTGTTAGAGTGGTTTGTCTTTTTCTTCTCCGGCTCATTTTATAGATGAGGAAATGAAACAAACTGGGTTATGCCCAGGATTACATAGTAAATATCTGAGGCTGGATTTTAACTCAAAAGGATGTTTTCCTGATTCCAAACCCGGTGTTCTATCCACTACACTAGCTAGCCTCCCAAGGCAGCTTTTACCATCCTTCTTTTATAGTTGAGGAAACTGAGGCAGTTATAGGTTAAGTCATTTGTCCAGTGTCACACACTAATAAGTATGAGGCTAGATTTGAACTCAGGTCTTTTCGACTTCAGACTCAATGCTCCATCCACTGTGCCATTTAGTTGTAGCTTTCCCCTTTCTGAAATTCTCTTCTTCCTCATTTCTACTTTTTTGTAATCCTTCTTTTCTTTAAATACTGAGTTCATGTTTATTCTTTTAAATCTTCTGATCTTCTAAGAACTGCTCCACCTTAGAATACATTGAGAGAAAAGAAGGTCTATTACTAGGTCAGTGATAGTTCTGCTGTATAGATCTGCCCTGGTCAGATCACATCTACAGTATTGCATTTATTAAGCAATTAATATGTGCCAGGTACTGTTTTAAGTTATGCAGCAGACCATATAAGTCTTTCAAGGTTTTTCTTAAGTCCTCCTGCTCATCATTTCTTATAGTACAATAGTATTCCATTACATTCATATACCACAGCTTGTGCAGCCATTCCCCAATTGATGGGCATCCCCTCAATTTCCAATTCTTTGCTACCACAAAAAGAGCTGCTATAAATATTTTTGTACATGTGGGTCCTTTTCCCATTTGTATGATCTCTTTGGGATACAGCCTTAGAAGTGCTATTGCTGGATCAAAGGGTATGCACATTTTTATAGCCCTTTGGGCATAGTTCCAAATTGCTCTCCAAAATGGTTGGATCATTTCACAACTCCACCAACAATGCACTAGTGTTCCAACACATCTTCTCCAACATTTATTTATCATTTTCCTGTTTTGTCATGTTGGCTAATCTGATAGGTATGACGTGGTACCTCAGAGTTATTTTGATTTGCATTTCTCTAATCAATAGTGATTTAGAGCATTTCTTCATATGACTATAGATGGCTTTAATTTCTTCATCTGAGAACTGCCTGTTCATATCCTTTGACCATTTATCAATTGGGGAATGACTTGTAGTCTTATAAACTGCACTTGGCTTCTTGATTAACTTACTGGCTTTTGGTATTTTCCAATATCTAGTACATTGTTGTACACATAAGTAGATCTTTTATAAACACTTGTTGAATGGTATGATAAGATGAGTACAAAACTTGGAGGCAGAAGATCTGGGTTGGTATCCTGGCTTCTGGTTGTTCGATTACAGTGAAGTCACAACCTCTTTGAACCTCTTTCCATATTAGTAAGAGAGATTATTTGCACAACCTACCTCACAGGGTTGCTTGTGGGGGTCAAATTAGCTAAGGCATATATAAAACACTTAGTATGCTTAAAAACTTGTGAACTTTAATTATACAACTTAAACTACTGTGCTGTTATTATTACAAAAATGAGGAAATAATTCCCCATGTAAAATTCAGGGCATCTAATCTAAACTTGGTGGTCAGATAAATCAGGATTCTCAGCAATGCTCCCCAAGAGGCTTTGAGGTGAAGGAGCTAGCTCGACCAAACAATTTAAAAATGCCTGTGGGTTGATGGTTTCAGGCGTTCTTCCTAGTTCAAATGCAACTAACTGGGAACCCGAATACAGTTCCAAGACTAGTGAGAAAGTTCTTCCTAAAAGTTGCAGCTCTGGGGTGTAAGGTCTTGAAGTATTTACTGCTGGGTCGGGAGATGGAGCAGGGGCCAAGGATGGTCCAAGCCGAACGTCATCATTTTATTGAAAAGGAACATCTAGGAGCGAAGGGAGGAGTTTTGGGATGAGGAGCCTGGGGCTGTTTCCAAAGTAAGAGGAGGAACGAAAAGCGGTAGGCATGGAAGCAAGCCAAGTTAGAGCCGAGAGGGAGAGACGTATGTGTGTGAAGTTTGTTTTTTCCCATGTTCTTTTATGTCCTCTCAGTTGCTCTTGCTAGTTCACAAAACTCTGTACCCTTTGCAAGCTCTTGTCCCGCACCCCACATGCCTGCCCTCCGTTTTCACCGGGTGCACATATAGGGCGGCTTTGTGGGAGAGCCAGGGAGCCGCCGCGGCCGCCAGAGTTCCGACTGGAACTTTCTTGCTCTTTCTCCCCTCACCCCCCCGACCCTCGCGCCCCGCGCCTTCCGAGTCCGCGCCCGCCCCTCCCCCACCGGCGGGGTCCGCCGCCCCTCCCTCGCCCCGAGTGCCCCAGCCCAGGCCGCCGCGTCGCTCTCCCGCCACCGCCTCCTTCCCGAGCCTCGGATGGCCGGAGGGGGAGGGAAAGAAGGCGGTCGGGGGGAGGAGCCGCCGCCGCGGTAGCCGAGTCCCCTGGCCATGTCCGGAGGAGGAGGAGACGGTGGCGGAGGCGGCCCCGAGCCGGGATTTAAAGGCGCCCTGCGAGCGATCCAGCAGGCCATGACCCGGGGGCTCCCATGAGGGGGGAGCCTAGGGAACACGCTCGGCGGGCCGCCTGGACAAAGGAGCATGGGGGGCGCTCGCCCTCCTGCGCCTCCGCTTCCTCCTCGGCGCTTCCGCCTGCCCCCGCCGCCATGAGGATCCGGGCGCTGCCGCCAGCCCGCGGGCAGCCCCAGCGCTGACTCCCCCGGGCCGGCCGTCCTCCCTCTTGCGAGCCAGGCCCGGTCCGCCCGGCCATCCCTCCGTCCAGCCCTCCCTCAGCGCGGCCTCCCCTCGCCTCGCCCGGAGCATGAAGCGGCCGGGCGGCCCCGCGGGCGAGCGCCGCTGCCTCGGCCGCCGGCGGCGCCTGCTGCTTGGCTGGCTGCTCTGGATCGCCCTGTGGGAGATCGGCCCCGGCGCCGCCGCTCTGCCCCCGGGCTGCAAGCACGACGGGCGGCCCAAGGGCTCCGGCAAGTCCCCGGCAGGCGGAGCCGCGCCCGCCGCGGCCCCGGAGGGCAAGGTGGTGTGCAGCAGCCTGGATCTGGCGCAAGTCCTGCCGCCGGACACGCTGCCCAACCGGACGGTCACCTTGTGAGTATCCCGCGGGAGGGGCAGGAGGAGGGAGGAGGATTCCCCACCCCTACCAGGGCAGTGCAACTTGGAAAAGTGGCCGCCCTGCCAGCAACAGGGTGCCTTTTGTCTAAACGAGCCTGAGCTCCCGGTCCACACTGCCTCCCGGTGCGGCTGGGGTGGGTGTGTGCTGATGGCCATCCTGTGGGTTCTGCCTCCAGGACGGACCCGCGTATTGGAAACTGATCGTCTGCTCTCCTGCTTCTTTGCCAAGTTTTCACGGGTTCCCTTTGGGCTTTCTTTGCGGTAATAATTGTCAGTCTAACAACCAAACAAAACCCAGCCAGCGTTTTCTAAGTTGGTCTTAGCATTGGAGAGAAGTCCTATCCAAACCCAGGAAGCCAGCGATGAGGAAAGTTGAAGTCAGGGTGTGAGCAAAGTTTCAGGATGTGCTGGACGTTCAGACAGGCTGGTTTTCCAAATTGGATCGTGGCTCTTTAGACAACTTTGCCCTTACTGTGTGAAAAAATGGGTTACTAACTACTCTGTTTATGTAAGTTTTACTAATATGTGAGGTGACTGTCCCAACTTTGTGTTTCTCCATTTCCTTCCCAACCCGTTGCATTCTTTACTTCCCTCTCCATCACTGTACTGAAACTATTCTCCAATGTAGTGAATGAGCTCCTGATCACTTAATCCAATGTTTGTGTTTTTTTTTTTTACATCCCTACCCCCGCCCCCTCTCCTCCATTCTCATTGTCCTTGACCTCTCTCTAGCATTTGGCACTTTTAACACCTCCCCTTTCTTTCTCTGTACCCTTTCTATACGTTCTTTTTTCCACTCTGGCTTCAAAGTGACTTGTGGTTCTACCTTCTCTAATTGCTCCTTTGTTTCCGGTGGTATTCTTCAGGATGGCTCCCTCTGCTTTTTTTTTGGCTGACTTTTTAAGACCCCATTTGGGGTTTTCTTGGCAAAGATACTGGAATGTTTTGCCATTTCCTTCTCCATCTCATTTTACAGGTGAGGAGACAGGCAAACAGGGTTAAATGACTTGCCCCAGGTCACACGGCTAGTAAGTGTCTGAGGCCAGATTTGTACTCAAGAAAATGGGTCTTCCGGACTTGGGGCCTGAGACTCTCCCTGCTCTAGCTCTGCTTACTCTCCCACCTCCACCCCTCATCCCTCACCCCCCATCCCCGAGTAAGCTCTAGTTTGGCTATCTTAATTTGTAGGTGGATAACTTCCAAGTTGCCTGTCTCCAGACTAGGTGCTGGTTGATGGATTGATTGAGCTACACCTACGTGGCTGGTAGGATAAATCTACCTGGGTATCCTACTAGTACCCCTAAAGCTTATCTTTATGCTAAAATCTGTTCCTCTAATTGATTTTTCTGTTTTTTCTAAGGAGGTACCATTCATATACAGTATTCTATATTTGGAAAAATGTCATCTATTCCAACAAACTACCTCTGTAAATCTTTTGCCTCTATTTTTATTGCCATAACCCATCACTAATTAGTAAAGTTCTTTACTAAAAATGACTAAACTGACTACCCGCCACTTAACTGTAGTCTTAAAAGAGATCCATTGGTCTGTACTCCATCCTTCATACTGCTGCCAGACTAATCTTCCTTTTTCATAGATCTGTTCATGTCATTCTTATGTTCAAAACCCTTCAGAGGCTGTGTGGTGCAGCAGATAGAGTGTTGGGTCTGAAGTCAGGAAGACCTGAGTATGAATGGACACTTGATATGCGATCCTAGGCAAGTCTGTCTGCCTTTGTTTCCTCAGCAGTAAGATGGAGAATAATAGCATCTACCTCTTAGGGTGGCTGTGAGGATTGAGGGAGGTAGTATTTGTCAAGTGCTTAGCACAGTGCCTGGCACTTGGTAGGCACAGTAATAAATGCTTGTTTCTTTCCTTCAGTGGCTCCCTGTTGTTTATCAACTAAGCTTGAGACTCCAAGCCTGGCATTGAAGGTCCTCTGTAATGTCACCCAACTTGTGTCACACAATATAGACCATTCTTCATTCCAGCTTTATGGGCACCTCACTTTTTTTTTTTGCCTGTCTTTGTGTCTGAAATGTCTACTTTCCTCACTATCAACCACCTTAAATTCCTGCTCATTCTTTAAAACCCACCTAAAATTCTACCTTCTTCAGCAAGCTTCGCTACATCTGCTTAGCAGTCACCTTTCCTGGGCTCCCTCTTCCTCTCATGACATTTTGCACCTCTCTAAGGGACTTATTTTTTTTACGTTATAGTTATGCATATGTCATATTCCTTCTTCAAGATTGAAACTGAATTATAGGTTAAAAACTTCTTTTTAAAAATCAGCTTTTTTTCTTTTTAAACATAACTCTTATTTCTCAATGACTGTCCCCCATAGAATGGTCTCTTGTAACAGAGAAATGAAATTTAGTGAAACAAATGAAGGCTGTGTTTGACAATGTGTGCCTCATCTGCACCTATAATCTACCACCTCTGTGTAGAGAAGAAACTATAATTATTCCTACAGTATGTTTTGCTAGAAGTGGATGGATTGTGAGGCTTTTGCCAAAGTATGCTAACTTTACCAACTTTTCTTGGTTTGTATAATTAAGAAAAAAATACCCTATGCTTGGAATGCTTCTAAGAATGTCAAGTTCCCTTTAAGACTCTTTAATGCCATAACTTAGTAATGTTACATCTTAGTGGATGTCTTCCTTGATTCCTCTAGTTATTAGCACCCTCCTCAGTTACTTTGTATTCATTTTTATATACTTTATATGTTATCTGTATGTGTGTTTTGTCCTTTCATATCTGTGTCACCACCCCTCCCCCCAACCAACTATTAGCTCCTTGAGCACAAGGAATTTTTTTTGTCTTTGTATTCCTAACATAATGCCTGTCACATAATAAACGCTTAATAAGTGTTTGTTGAATTGAGTTACTGTAAAACACTCCAGGCAAGTAAATCACTGTGAAATTAAAAAAAAAAGGGATTCATATGAATATTCAGTCTGAGTGCACATCTTTAAATTAGGAATAAATATTGTTAATATTACTTTCTATAAGTAGTTTACATTCCTATTTGAGTTAATTTAGCATAAAATTTGAACTACAGTGCTTGGCACATAATAAATATTTAAATTTAATAAATGTATTTAGGTTGTCATTTTCTAGTCTTTGGGGGCACATAAATGGGTAAATAATTTTAGGAACAAAGAATTTAATTGTTTTAGTTCACTATCCATTGCTTTGGACTCAAAATCTTTGATATAATGATTTGAGGATGAACCCAGTCTTAGGAGTCAACTCCAGAACAAACCAGTGTTGGAAAAGTGTTAGTTTACTCAAATTGTTCTTAACCATGGGGAGAAGGTTGGAACACTTAGTGGTTGTTTTCAAAAATATTTTTGTTCTGAATTGGCTTCATTTACTTTGATTCAGGTTTTGGCTCAGTTTGTCTGAAAATTTTAAAATTAAATCCACCTCATTCAGATAAATTCTTAGTAAATGTGTTTGTGCTTTTACTTTCTGGAAAGACTGAAATATAGTTGATATATCCTGCAGATAATTATTTTTTTCAGTATGTTACTTTTTTTTAATCTTTAAAAATAGTCTTATTGATGCTTTTTTTCAGCGTTTACCATCTACATTAAACCCACTCTTAGAATAGAAAAAAAAGTTAAGCAAAACCAATTGATAAGGTTACTGAATATGATATTTTGTTCCCATAGACCATCACCTTCTTACTAAGGGATGTAGTTTATCATAATATTTTATAAAAATGAGAAAGTAGGCATATGCATTAATAATGACAATTACATTCATCTAATATTTTAAGGTTTGTATAGTGCTTTGCATTCATTATATTTGAACTCCTCTTGTTTTAATTAAAATACTGCTTGTGAGTTTTTCCCTAATTGCTTGATATCTTCTCTTTTAGAGAAATCCCACGGGCCAGGTCCAAAACACATACGTCTCTTCTGCATATAGCAGGGAGTCTTCATCATTAATTATCTGTAATCATGCTTAATCATTGCATTGATCAGAGGTTTTAAGTCTTTTTTCTTTTTTTAGTTGTATCGATTAGTTTTGTCTGACTCTTTGTGACCCTATTTGAGGTTTTCTTGGGAAAGATACTGGAATGGTTTGCCATTTCCTTCTCCAGCTCATTTTACAGATGAGGAGACAGGCAAACAGGGTTAAATGACTTGTCCCAGGTCACACAGCTAGTAAATGTCTGAGGACAGATTTGAACTCGGGTCCTTCTGACTCCATGGCTGGCACTCTATCCACTGTGCCACCTAGCTGCCCTCTAGTTTTTTTGTTTTTTCTTTTGACAGTGTTGTTAATTTATGATTTTTCTCCTGGATCTGCATATTTCATTTTTTAATTCAGTTTATGCAAGTCTTCCCAGTTTCTCTGAAAATGTCTCTTTCATCATTTTTTGTAGCACAATATAGCGTTCCATTCCATTCTAATTAATGGGAATCTCCTTCGTTTCTAGTTCTTTGCAACTAAAAAAAAAAGAATTCATAAGTATTTTTTGTACATATAGGCCTTTTTCTCTTTCATCTCTTTGGGATTTAGCTTAGCTAGATCAAAGGGTATGTAGGCAGGGGTTCTTAACTGTTTTTGTATTATAGATCCCTTTAACAGATAAAAACTTTGGAGGTCTCAGATAATGTTCTTAAAGCATAAAATACACAGGATCACAAAAAAATAATCAATTATTGAAATACAGTTATCAATATATTAGAAAAAAGTTCAGCTATGCCAGGTTAAGCCTCCCTGTCTAAATGACTTTTTTTTTTAAAGGCAGTTGGGGTTAAGTGACTTGCCCAGGGTTACACAACTAGTAAGTGTCAAGTGTTTGATCTGAGGGTGGATTTGAACTCAGGTCCTCCTGACTTCAGGGCCGATAGTCTCTCCACTACACCACCTAGCTGCCCCTAAATGACTTTTTTTTTTTCTGGTTGTTGTTAGGCAGTGGGGTTAAGTGACTTCCCCAGAGTCACACAGCTAGTAAGTGT